AGTGGATTAAAGTTGGTGGTTAAAAGTGAAAAAGATGACAAAGACAGATTGTATCCCTTCTTTTTTCTCGTGCCAAGCATTGGTCCACCACAACTGATCTGACCATATAGTACAGACATAAACTCTCCTAAAAGGGGTGTATATTTGCTAAGAAAATTGGGAGAGAATTTGATTCTCGCCCCTAATCTAGTTTGGGAGAATTATGAAAGGAGAGGAGCCGAGTACCCATATAGAATATCACGAAACTTGCTGATTAAAACGTATGGATTGATAAATAGAGAGCTGCTTAAATGATCACCAGCACGTCATTGATATATCCATGGATGTGTAACCAACTGTTCCATGATAATTGCCATTTGAGCTCTTATTCATTCAATCATCACTATGAGCTCTGTTACACACCATTCAATCTTATGAATAAGATCCAACTTATTTTTGAATGACCGTTGAGCAGCCGAGAACATCGCGAACGATCACTGGCATTATTTGTTGGTCGAAATGATCTCTAATTAGCTATAGTCCTGCTCCTCAAGCATTATTTTCAGGGTAAAATGAACGAGAGCGACATAATCTGACTTAATTATAGTTTCATGATAGCTTTGATCTGTATGACCTCAAATGGTGCTCTATATTGTGCGTTAACTAATTACTGCAAGTTGATTTGTTATTAGTCAGACCTCATGTATTACAGATCATCTCTGGTGTAGAGACCAAGCTTTGTATAATAGATGTATCTCTGATTAGAGGCATATCTGTGTAAAACTCTTCGCTATAACGAGCAAAAGAACTGAATTCTCATCATGATTCAGATAAATTCTAACACCACGACACTTCTCTCAAGAAGAATTAGAGTCGATTATAGGCAAAGATACGAGACTGTCGATTAAAATCAAAGACATTGTCCTCGACCAAACAAACTCATTGCTAAATTTAATGTGCACTGTTAACATGTTGAATCTTAATCAACATTAGGAATTCGTTTTGGCGTTTAAGCGAGATATATATTGGTGCTCTCGAGCAAAATTTTTTTCCAATAGCGTTAACTCCAAACATCACATAATATATGCAAATCTTGGTCAATTATCTCAAATAACTATGATTGAATGTATAGCATTATATATTTAGCTATTTTAAAATATGGAATTACCCCCAGAACAGAGTTTCAATATATTCTATAACCATACATTAGAGCAATATTCCTAAATAAAATAATCTATTATAGGCCCTTTTTCTGTAGCAACCCATACATTATTTATGATTGAATATTTCCGCCATTAGACTAATTATTAGCCTTTCTAAAGATAGATAATAATTTAAATATACATACTTAAATTTGTTTGTAGTACACAATAGCAATAAATGTTGCTTTATAAACGTTATCAAATTTATCTCAGGCTTGATTTATCTCCCAAATTAGCTAATTTAGATATTTTACATTTAAATGTTGCGGAATTTATTAAGGCAAACGTAAAATTATACATTCATAAGTTCACAGACAATACTGATCGTAGAAGAAATATTATCGTATGATCACATGAGTGTGACTTCGGTACATCAAGTCGTATGATTCATCAATGATTATCACATCGACCTGTAAAGAGAACTTAGTTTTCTTATACAAAAACTAAGTAGTCATAATATTCTTGCTTTACCATCGACATGTTCTATATTCTCGGACTGAACGTGAATCATCAATTGGTGTTAACTTAAAAGCCCATTATGCACTCAAAAACAAATAATTCCTCATATTTTTTTTGATTAGTACACATGAAATGTTATAATGTTTAAAATGATAGTTTCAGGAGAATGTTAGATGCTCGTTACCTGAAGAAAAGTAGAGAAAAATGTAAATAATTTAGTCATAACAAATAACATCTTAACAAGATTGTATACTTTCACTTCCATACAAACAACCATACTAATTACATAAAATGTACTATTGCCAAAAGCCAACAGAACATGAGCAGAGACTGTTTCATGAAATTGGCCAGTGAATAAACTTTTAGATCCGTGAGTAAGAAAGTACACCAAAAAATCAAAAACCCTTTAGAGAACATGCAGAAAATATAGCATGCGTACTTCGCAGACCATTCACTCAATGGGCCTGTGTAGAATGTCCAAAGACCGAGATTGGACTCCTTTTACTCAACTCAACTCAGTTGTTCACAAATTGCGAAACACTATGTACATTGTGGAAGAGGAGCATATCTGTATAATCTGTTGTATAAACTTTAATGAAACATAAAAATCAACCTCCATATAGACTGTTAAGTACCCTAATTAAAACTCACTTCAGAACATTGAAAATAAACCTTTTGTTCCTATTAGATGCCGGGAATAAAAGTATATTACAAAAGAGAGAGTTCAGACATTCTATTGCATGTTTTTATTCATGATCTGAAGTTTACTACAAACGAGGATTACACAAAAAAAATAATATACTGGATCCTTTGTTCATGACGCTGATTGGTCCTGACTATTTACAAATAATTGAATTTTATATTTTCACAAGATAAACCAATACCAATCTCTATCTCCACAGAGCGGTGCTTAATAGCTGTTTCTTTTCATAACTTTGTTTGGCCAATAATATTAGTTAGATTGCTGGAGCCAACAAGATAATATGGATATAGTTGACCAAACTTACAAAATGTTAGACCTTTAATCACTGGAAGGAGTTATCATACTTAGATTTACTCCGCACCGAACCAACCAATCTTATATATACGATGTTTTGAAGAAATAGAAAAAAATGTCTTGAAATATAAATATTTGAACAACATATAGACTAATTCACACGGTAGATACCTCATTAAGAAAGAGATGATTCTCTATACAGCTTCATATATGAGATAATATCTGAGTCTAATCCAGTGTGCATTCCTCACAGAAGATAGCTAATGTTACTTTCTTTGATAGACTCCATTAAGTTGTTGTACCAACAAAATAAATCATATCGCGTATACACTAGCTTATTTGTCCAAGGAAACCCATTCCTTTCTTATTATTTCGCTTGATTAAACACTCTCTGTTACCGGTGACCTACCCGTAATGTGGTTTCACCAATTTGTCAACAAGATTAGATCCAGACTCCAGTCTTAAAATTAAGCTATTTCTTTCTAGTCCATGAGAGTAAAATACATATCTCATCATATCCTAACTCTATTCTTTGTGCTGCTTAAACAATTCTTGCGTTGAATCAGGACTGATTTCCATGTTGGACCGTTGACCCCAGGGGGCCCAACGAAAACGGCATAATACTCACAACATACAGTCAGCTTCCATATATTAGCGCCTTGCATACTACGCCAAGTTATGATAACAATATCTCATTCCTAACTCTGTGTTATGTATCCCGGACATCTCAATTTTTCAATTTATGTAAATCACAAATGCTAATCGGTTTTAACACTTTCTTGATCTCACATTAAGTGTATACCGAGCTCACATTAGGAAACCCCATAGTGGTGTGCAACAAAGTTTTCCTCTTAAGAACTAATCCAAATACCAAATTATGTGTTCTATCTCATGTATCAAGGGCTCTTTCCACCGGATTAGAATAGATAGATCGAATATCTCACATTTATCCTTAACCTTTCTACTTATTGTCATTGTCCAGGTATGAACCCACAAGATTTCCAATTTATTGAAATCACGATCTGAAACAGGTGAACACATGTATCACACTTTTTTAGCTGAGTTCCTATTGTCGTCTATTTAGTCATTTACTGATGGAAAGAAAAAGTCAGAGAGGGAATCACACATTGAATAGCCCAGGACCAGCAACTGCTTTCCGAGAAAATGATTAGAGTCTTCTACGTCTATTTATAACACCTATATTGATATAGAACTTTGACTCTATCTAGAGGGAATTCTCATTCCTATATTCAGTCATTCAACCAGAGAAAACCATTTAGTCTATGGTTGCTTAGTCCGATGACCCTCGACTCTATTGACTTCGCGATGGGTGGAATTCCAATTATTTAATAGCAGATACCAACCTACAGTATCATTTCATTCATAACCCTTTTTTATACATTGCTCTTAAGTTAATTGAGTCACACTAAAGATAGTAGCTGGTGCCTTAATTTCAAGTCGAGTGTGCCTGGAATACTTACATTTGTTTATCATATCAGATTCTCTGAGTCGACGACCTTGACCCAACTATTGGACACCCAACATGGCCCTAAACACAGTAACATCAACCGAATGTCTCCAAGACTTGCACATAACTACTATATATATCCAACGCCAAGTTTCGATTATACAATATCTCTATTCTCCTCAGACTCTTATTAAGTGTGACCGAAAATTCGCAGGTTTTCAATTTTTAAGTATACATAGCGAGTTTTGATCCTTGACCTTGGATCCCTCATAGCCGCTCAAAAAGCAAGGTTTAGGGGGGGTATATAGGAGTCAGCGATATGCCAATCCCAGTTTCCATATAAGGTTGCGTAGTATACCATACGTGATTACAATACCTCATTTCAAACTCTTCGAGTATGGTCCGGAAAACCATGATGTGGACCGACCGAACCTACGCCGACGGACCACATCATGGATTCCGACCGGACGATAACTGAGTTTGGGAATGACGACCGACAAGCGACTGGCCTATTGTTATTATCAAAAATACCTTCCCCTAAACTTCGTTTGGTGGTAGTAGTAGCATACCATTATATGGAAACTCGGTTGTTGATAAGCGTATAATCGCAAAATGTTGAACCCTTATGATCAGGTTTCCAGATCCTTTGCTATGATAAGTCTGAGTTTTAAAGAGATACTGAATAAGGTTGAATTTGAAACTTTGGGAATGGTACTGTGAAATGTGTTTGGCTGTGGTCAAAATTTGGCATCACAGAAGATCTTGACTATTACAGTAATCAAACTCATGTCTAAATATATAACCCGTGCACTTGTTGCCGTATTACAAACATGCTAAAAAGTCTACTATAAATCTGTTTAAAATTAATCAATAAATTGTCTGACTACACATTTTTTTTTTGGATCAAAAATGTCCTCAGAATAGTCAAGTTTTAACAAAAAGTTTCAATGACTAATGACTAATTTCTGTAACAGTCTGTCCGCCAATGGTGTGGATTCCTTCTGACTTTTTCTTTCCATCAGTAAATGACTAAAATAAGAAAAATAGTATAAAATTATATTTTTGTGGATTTGGTCTTCATAGCAATATGAAAGTAATATGGCAACTTTCAACCTGTAACTGCAAGTAACATAATTATTATGCTTAAGAAACGAACATTTCTTTCCTTAACTTAAGAAGTGGTAAACATGAATTTTATATCGTTTAAATGACAGTTTTAAGGCATAATAAATGTTTAACACGTGAAGAAAGTAAGGGCTGGATGTGAAATTGTTCGTCATAAAAGTAGCAACATGTAAACAAAGTAGTATTTTGATTCCATACAAAATATTAAATCATTTGAAATGTAAAAATTACCAAAATGTAACAGCGGTAAAGGATGGCTCAGGTGTAACTTTTTTGGAAACTATAATAGGACTCAAGAAATAAATAGTTTTTGAGAAATGAAAATGAAATCATTTCTAAGGCATAATGGACCTTTAAGGAAGTTCCCGGAATTCCATTATATCAAAATCAATTCATTTCATCTCCTATTATAATGCTCTCAAACAAGTATGTAATATTTTAATCATTTTGTAGTTTTGGAACTACCAAACTTTCCAACAAAACCTTAAGCACAAGTGTGACGCATGCGCCTGGGTGAGATTGTAGTATGTGAGAAATTCAAATTATATGAGCCGCGTCATGACAAAACCAATATAATGGGTTTGTGACCAGCATGAATCCAGACCAGCCTGCACATTCGGGCAGTCTGATCAGGATCCATGCTGTTCGCTTACAAACCCTATAACAAGTAGAGAAACTGATAGCAAACAGCATGGATCCTGATCAGACTGTGCGGGTGCGCAGTCTGGTCTGGATTCATGCTGGTCGCAAACCCATTATGTTGGTTATGTCATGATGCGGCTCATATGTTTTTAAGATTTTGGACTTCAATGGAGTTCCTTTAAAAATTAAAAATACTTTGTTTGAAAAAAGTTTTTTGCTTTTCAAAATGCATGACCTATTCTTTATAAGATTTGTTTTAAAATTGTTACTTGGCATATCTTTGGTTTTCTGGAAGTTTTGACTTCATTGCAGCATGGATAGCGAAAATATTGAACACATCTCTCTGAAATGATAAGAAATAAGAGCTGTCAGTAAATCAGCATGCTTGACTATTTTTAGTGCTTTTTTAGTAAAACAAAAGCCTGAATAATCTAAGAATTAACATAGCGTAAGATTTCATTCACAAATACAAAATTTATAATGTACATGACACAGTTATGAGTCTTGGATATTGACTAATATTATGTTTACAAAGGGCCTAAATTAATTTAGAATCCATGCCAAATATATAGGTCTTGGCATGTGATTTTAATCAAACAAACATCAATCAAGTTTGAAATGAATGCAATTAGTTGTTTTCTGAAAAAAAAATTTTGCGAGCAAAACTTAAACCAAACATTTTCTAAATTCACATAGTGCAATAATTCAATGATATTCCATGAATGTCATTTAACCCATTGCTTCATGAGCATTTTGTGAAAAATGGCTGTTTTCATTGAAAAGTCTTCCGTTACAAGTTCAAATTGCTATAATACTATAAAAACTGCTTCAACACTAATCAAACTTGGCACAAATGATGACTGGACCATTGCCCTTGCAACAACATGCTCAGACTAAAATTTTCTGTTACCATGGCAATGAGGGGACATCTCAAAATTGCCAAAAATCACTATTTTGCGTTGATTTTTTCCATCAAAATTGATTTCAAAGTGCTGCAACTTCTCAATGGATTGAGATAGAGTCAAATGCTTTTCAGCGTTGGTTACACGTTACCTTATGATCAATCTGGGGTCATTTACAGCCTCTCACAAGTCCAAAATTTTCTTGGCGATGAGGGGGACTCCGCCCCCCTTCAAACCCCCCCAAACAGAAGGGGGCACATCCCCCTTCTTGCAACCCCCTGATGTATCTTTTGGTTGGGGGGCCGCGCCGAAAAAGAGGTCACTTTTTTTAACAACATTTCTCAACCAAAAACAAGTGTTTGGGGCCTAAATAAGGCATTTTTTCATCATTTGAGACAACAAAAAGGGGGGGGGTGAAAAGGGCGTTAAAAGGCGTGTATATGAAGTAATGGGTTAACAGAAAATTATGAAAATACTTGAAATTACCCTAAATCGCGTTTTTTCATGTTTAAACATGGCCTGTCATATAAATTTGATGAAAAATTGTTGTTTTGTAGATTTTTTTATTTTTTTCATTAACCCATTGCTTCATGAGCATTTTGTGAAAAATGGCTGTTTTCATTGAAAAGTCTTCCGTTACAAGTTCAAATTGCTATAATACTATAAAAACTGCTTCAACACTAATCAAACTTGGCACAAATGATGACTGGACCATTGCCCTTGCAACAACATGCTCAGGCTTAAATTTTCTGTTACCATGGCAACGAGGGGACATCTCAAAATTGCCAAAAATCACTATTTTGCGTTGATTTTTTCCATCAAAATTGATTTCAAAGTGCTGCAACTTCTCAATGGATTGAGATAGAGTCAAATGCTTTTCAGCGTTGGTTACACGTTACCTTATGATCAATCTGGGGTCATTTACAGCCTCTCACAAGTCCAAAATTTTCTTGGCGATGAGGGGGACTCCGCCCCCCTTCAAACCCCCCCAAACAGAACGGGGCACATCCCCCTTCTGGCAACCCCCTGATGTATCTTTTGGTTGGGGGGCCGCGCCGAAAAAGAGGTCACTTTTTTTAACAACATTTCTCAAACAAAAACAAGTGTTTGGGGCCTAAATAAGGCATTTTTTCATCATTTGAGACAACAAAAAGGGAGGGGGGTGAAAAGGGCGTTAAAAGGCGTGTATATGAAGTTATGGGTTAAAGATTAAGGTTACGTTTGCATTATTTAACATGTAGGTTTGGTCACAAGTGTTGTTTTGTCCAAGCATTAATAAAATCCTTATATAAAATAATAAACTTATGACCAACTTAAAGAAAATATTGAGAAATTTGATACCGAATGTCAAAGACAAATTTGAAGACTGACAGTCAGACTGACCTACAGACCAACATACTGACAAGGTAACTCCTACAAATCACCCCTAAAGTTCATTTTTTTTTTTAATATAATTTCTTAAATTATAAATTAATTATAATTACTAAAACTTTTGAATTGACTAATAATGGTACATACTGACTAAAACTGGTGAAACTAGAACTGCCACTATCATGGCGTGAATACCCCCGCATACCACTTTGTCAGAATCAACAGTGGCCATTTAGAGCTCAAGGACAACCTCCCTGCCAAACCTGAGGTTACTAAGCCAGTGCATTGCTAAGTTATGTATTCTACATGCTTCAAATGTGAAAATGTCAAAATCAATACATTGCGGACAGGACATTCTTTAGCAATTGAGAAGAAAAGCTTTTTTTCTGTCAAGGTCCCTGTGACCTTGACCTTTGACCCAGTGACCTCAAAATCAATAGGGGTCACCTTATAGTCATGATCAACATCCATGCCGAATATGAAGACTGTGGGTCAAAGGAATCTTAAGTTATTGGGCGGACAAGCTTTTTGAAGTCAAGGCCCCTGTGACCTTTGACCTGGTGACCTCAAAATCAATAGGGGTCATCTACTAATCACGACTAACCTCCATGCCAAATAGGAAGACTGTGGGTCAAAGAAATCTTAAGTTATAGGGCGGACAAGCTTTTTGAAGTCAAGGCCCCTGTGACCTTGACCTTTGACCTGGTGACCTGAAAGTCAATAGGGGTCATCTACTAATCATGACTAAGCTCCATGCCAAATATGAAGACTGTGGGTCAAAGGAATCTTAAGTTATTGGGCGGACAAGCTTTTTGAAGTCAAGGCCCCTGTGACCATGACCTTTGACCTGGTGACCTCAAAGTAAATAGGGGTCATCTACTTATCATGACTAGCCTCAATGCCAAATATGAAGACTGTGGGTCAAAGGAATCTTAAGTTATTGGTCGGACAGCTTTTTGATGTCAAGGCCCCTGTGACCTTTGACCTGGTGACCTCAAAGTCAATAGGGGTCATCTACTAATCATGACTAACCTCAATGCCAAATATGAAGACTGTGGGTCAAAGGAATCTTAAGTTATTTGGCGGACAAGCTTTTTGAAGTCAAGGCCCCTGTGACCTTTGACATGGTGACCTCAAAATCAATAGGGATCATCAACTAATCATGACTAACCTCCATGCCAAATATGAAGACTGTGGGTCAAAGGAATCTTAAGTTATTGGTCGGACAAGCTTTTTGAAGTCAAGGCCCCTGTAACCTTGACCTTTGACCTGGTGACCTCAAAATCAATAGGGGTCATCTACTAATCATGACTAACCTCCATGCCAAATATGACGACTGCAGGTCAAAGGAATATTAAGTTATTGGGCGGACAAGCTTTTTGAAGTCAAGGCCCCTGTGACCTTGACCTTTGACCTAGTGACCTCAAAATCAATTGGGGTCATCTACTAATCATGACTAACCTCCATGCCAAATATGAAGGCTAGGGGTCAAAGGAATCTTAAGTTATTGGGCGGACAAGAAAAAACCGACGGACGGCCGGATGGCCAGACGGACGGACAAGCTGATTCCAGTATACCCCCCTTACAACTTTGTTGTGCGGGGGTATAATAACTAATAGTGGCATATACTGACTTAAACTGTTGAAGTGGCGTGATTAGTTTTTGAAAATGTTTGACACTCTACACGATCTGGCTTTTAAAAACATGTACTTAACTAACACAGGATAGTTTTTTTTTGTTCCCAGTATACCATTACCTGAGCATGACTGCCTCCATTTTTCCAGATGTGATATTTCAGAGGTTTCAGGATTTCAACAGCAGTATCATATTCCCCATCATCGTAGGCATTTAGTGCCTCCATTAGAGGTAGAGTGACTTCTGAGTAAACCTGGGCATTATCACCTTTACCTTCCCTGAAATAAATATGAGCCGTGTCACAACAAAACCAACATAATGGGTTTGTGACCAGCATGGATCCAGACCAGCCTGCGCATCTGCGCAGTCTGATCAGGATCCATGCTGTTTGCTTGCCAACCCTATTACAAGTAAAGAAACTGATAGGGAACAGCATGGATCCTGATCAGACTGCACGGATGCGCAGGCTTGGTCACGATTCATGCTGGTTGCAAACTCATTATGTTCGTTTGGTCGTGACGCGGCTCATATACAGAATTGATGCCTGTATTATACAATATCTTTTAAGATACAATAAATACTGGACTTAGACCTTAACCCTTTCGCTGCCAGAGGGTTATTGTTTTATTGATCACCTATTTGCCAGAGGGTTTTCTAAGAAATTACTATACAATTAATTAATATAATTATTATTATTTGTTATTAGTATTATAATAATTATACATGTTTCCAAATCTGTGAATATAATAATAACTATTGTCAATGGTATAATTTTCTTTATATTTATTATTATTTTTATTATTATTTATTTATTATTATTACTATTATTATTATAGAAACGGCTTAAGCCGTACATATGGCAAATACACCGAAAATAACAGGGACGGCTTATGCCGTCCCTATGGCAGTGAAAGGGTTACTTGTTGAAAAAACTTGTTGAAAAAAATTTTGTTTATTTTCCTGCCAAAAGTCTATAACTAAAAATATCTGACCAATAACTTTCACCCAATCTAAAAATTTGACTGTAATAAGGTTTAGGTATAAACAAGGTACACAGCTGTCAAAACAATATTGGGACTTAAGTTTTGCAGCTGTATACATACTAGTCAAATAGAATCAGTATTGTTCTAAACGAAGCATAATTAATGTCCTCTTTATTCATTATTGCTGCTGCAAACAAACACTTTACACTGTTCTGAATCTGTTTTGAAACCTGTGCATTTTTTTGTATGCCTGGGTCTTTTGTTACAAAGTAATCATACTAAAAGGATTGACTTTTTATTAAAAATTTTTGCCTATTATTGAAAGTACTAACTTTATTGTTGCTTTAATGCTGGCTACCAGACGGTCAGCCTCGTCCTTATGTTTTGACCCGAGGCACACCATCATTGTGTTGAGGTCATAGTATGACCAAATGTTGTCTTCAATGTGATCTTTAGCCACGTCAAAACACTCAGACCACCTCGATTGCATGTCAAAACCTTGATAAAAAAGTGGAAGAAGATAAAAACTTTTTTAAAGCAATTTGAAACAGAAATGAAAGTGAAAGTAAAATACATTTTAAAGTCATTTTGACAAAAAAAATGAAACTATAACACTTTTAGTCTATAGTCAATTTTAGACAGAAAAAAGGAGAAGTGCAAAATGCACAAGATTAATTTTATGTTTCTTGCTGATTTTTGGCACTTCAAATGTGTATTCAAACATATCAAAATTCAAAACTGAAATTATAAATTATCAATATAAATTTATATTGTTACAATTGGACACAGTGGCTTTCTAATGCACTATGTATACCATCATGCTAGTGCAGTAAAGAGTTACCTCCTATTAAATCATATAAGGAGTTAACCTGTTACTGCACTTAGGTGATGATATCATTATTGCACAACCATTAAATCACTACATCTTCGGATCTATAATATCATGGGGCAATTTCAGTTGTATGCAGTAAAAGTTATTTTCTTGCATTTCAAGAAAGGCAAAACTATGAGTAATACTGTAATAGCTAAAAATCATAATAACGTATGGGTCTAACTCAGATCAAAGTAATTTCTTAGATTATAATTAATGTAATCAACCTTGGGCTTCTAGGTGATTTCTAAGATTAATTGTTTTATAGCAAACCTTCTGCTTCTAATCTAAAGCACAATGAGGCCACATCTGTCACACTGAACATCGTCTTCTTGGATTTCATAAAAGGCAAAACCTATATTAACAAAAAATGCCTTTATTAATTTATTCAAATATATTTTAATTTGGTTGTGTTGGAAGTTATAAGCTTATTGAAACACTCTTGAAACAGTTCCTGGAACCAACCTGTACTAAGCAAAGAGTGTAAAGTGTTTTGCTCACAGAAACAACTACATGCCCCTGATTGGGTTTTAACCTAAGTGGCTTGCAATCCTTAGATTACTAGTCCGATGTAAAAGCCACTCAGCCATGCTGCCACTCAAATGTCTTAATTGCAAATAACTGAATAAAGCACTGAAAAACAAAAATATATACATGTGTAGTCCATCAGATGACAGCTTAAATCTTTGTCATTTTGATCTAATAAATCGATTGGTAACACTTTCAAACCGATTAATTAACGTTTTCATATGTTTTTATGAGAAAATTGAGTGCTTTCCGGTTTTTCGGTGCTATCCGGTGCTTTCCGGTTTTTCTATGCACCGTCATTTTCCTGAAAAGCTCATCTGTATAATTATGCTTTATATAATGAATGCCAAGAGTGCCTACATAATGTCATCTTAGTGCAGTAATGAGTTAATCCTATCTAAATTTATAAGCAGTTAACCCATAACTGCACTAAGGTGAAGATATATGTACAATGTATCTTAATAAATAAACATGTTTACTGTACAAAATATATATACCAAAAATGTAAAGGTAACAATGGCAACTTTAAGCTTTAATGATGCAGAAAGACTTCTGAGTGACATTCCCATTTGTGTATCATCTTATGTATATTAAGGAACAACTTTAATTGGTCAAAGAAGACATACACTAAAACTCCTGGCATTATTCTATTAATCAAATGGGCATTTGAGAATTACCACCAACCTACTTTAACCCATTACTTCATGAGCATTTTGTGAAAAATGGCTGTTTTCATTGAAAAGTCTCCCGTTACAAGTTCAAATTGCTATAATACTATAAAAACTGCTTCAACCCTAATCAAACTTGGCACAAATGTTGACTGGACCATTGCCCTTGCAACAACATGCTCAGGCTTAAATTTTCTGTTACCATGGCAACGAGGGGACATCTCAAAATTGCCAAAAATCACTATTTTGCGTTGATTTTCCATCAAAATTTATTTCAAAGTGCTGCAACTTCTCAATGGATTGAGATAGAGTCAAATGCTTTTCAGCGTTGGTTACACGTTACCTTATGATCAATCTGGGGTCATTTACAGCCTCTCACAAGTCCAAAATTTTCTTGGCGATGAGGGGGACTCTGCCCCCCTTCAAACCCCCCAAACAGAAGGGGGCACATCCCCCTTCTGGCAACCCCCTGATGTATCTTTTGGTTGGGGGGCCACGCCGAAAAAGAGGTCACTTTTTTTAACAACGTTTCTCAAACAAAAACAAGTGTTTGGGGTCTAAATAAGGCATTTTTTCATCATTTGAGACAACAAAAAGGGGGGGGGGGGTGAAAAATGCATTAAAAGGCGTGTATATGAAGTAATGGGTTAAGTGACTGTTAGCACTTAAAAAGAAGCTATTCAAAGAATAGAAAAAACATTTGCACTTACATGATTGTCAAGAATACTCATACAAGTTTCAAAGTCACCATTCTCAAAATGATAGAGTGCCCAGTGCCAATAATTGTGACATAATAACCCATTGTCCTGAAATAGTGACATCATAAACATAATAACATTTGTGAAATAACAACCCACTGTCCTGAAACAGTAAAATGATAAATATAATAACATTTGTGACATGTTACAACCAATTGTCTTGAAATAGTGACATCATAAACATAATAACATTTGTGACATAATAAGTCATTGTCCTGAAATAGTAAAATCATAAATATAATAACATTTGTGACATGGTACAACCCATTGTCCTGAAAAAGTGACATCATAAATGAAAACACTTATGACTGTGAAATAACAACCCACTGTCCTAAAATAGTGACATCATAAATATAATTATAATTGTGACATAACAAATAATAATGGTGCCGTGGAAAGGCATTGGTTGCAACGGAAAGTCACTGGCTGCTTAAGAGGTTGCTATTGAAGTCAGAAATTGCTTTGAGAAGTCACTGGTTGCAATGGAAAGTCAGTGGATGCTATGGAAGTCAAAGGCTGCTATGATAGTCAGTGATTGCTATGGGAAGTCACCAGTTGCCATGGAAGACCATGGTTGCTATTGAAAATTATCAAATATCTAAGCTAAAGCCTCCATAGTATAATAGAATAAGTGTTTTTTGCTTTTACTGTAGACATATAAGGAAAATCCATGACCCTATAGGCAGGCCAATTTTGGCCCTATGGCTTTTTTTCAAACAAACTTGGTAGACATTCACTAAAAGATGATCCATGCTGAACATCTAAGCTCTGGCTATGTGGCCTTTTAAAAAAGAAGATTTTTAAAGTTTCTTTTTATTTTCCGTTGCCATGACAACCAGATTTCTGCATGGAATTCACTTCTTTGAACAATTTTTGACCATCCTAGGAACATTCCTATGAAGTTTGGATGAAATTGGCTTAGCAGTTTATGAGGAGATGTCGTTTAAAGTAAAGTTTACGGATGGACAAACTTTGTGACAGGTAAGCTAAAAGAAGTATAATTATAATTTTCATAATTTCCGGCAGAAAGAAACTACATGTACTTACGTTCCAGTTTTTTTCTGTTTCCTCCATAAACTTAATTCCTTCTCCGTACTCCCCAGTCATCTCCTTACAATGTGCCACACAATGTGCTGCCCACGCATCGTAACGATTGATGTCTAACGCCTTTAAAGTAAGACAATTTTCATTCATACTTAAATGTAAATCCACAATTTTTCAGTGCATTAGTTAATACTATCTGGAAAAGCGGGAAGATGCATTTAAGGTCTCAACCCGGTACGGAATTAGACCGAACCCATTGTAGTCTAGAAAGTAGTTCTTTAAAATTATGAAATGGCCCAATTTAAGTCATCTCTAGTTAGATTGGTCATAATTAAAGTGTATTTATTGCATGTGTGTAGTTTTTGTGTGTTAAATGATGACTTTAAAAGTTGTTTTTTGTGTATTCTCCAGGAACTCATTTGTTGGTGGAAGGATTAAAGATGTACTACCCACCAGCTGTCAGGAGTTTTTAAAGTGGTGAATTTAAACAGTGTTACAACAGAATGAAGATTTCTGAAAAAAGTAGATGGCTAACCTATTATATTTTGGGCATCATTTGACTTAGATAGTGTTAATGTTTAAAGTTGAAGACAGTATATAAATCATCAAGAACAGTGGAATCCAGAATTAAACCTCAAATTTGACTGATTTACTATAGAACTAATAGTACGAAAATTCACCGGGCCGAGTCCTTAAAGCCTGAGCCAGCAGGGTGTCCCCAAGTGCTTCTGCAGATGTTAATGCATGAAATAAAGGTGCATTTATTAAGCGCTATTCTTTTATTTCGGCATCATTGTATACATCTTGCTCAGTAATTTCCCTTTTTATTATCTTTTTTTCATATATAGAACCCATTTTATTCAGTTATTTCCCTTTTTATTATCTGTTTTTCATATAATAAGAAACCATTCCTCGTGCTAGTGTGATGTCATTTGACAGTGACATTTTAATAATGAAGCTTTCAAGATGACGCTCCAAATAATGCATATAAATGTACACGATTGGCCCATGCTCATATGACTTTATCTGTTAATGCATTTTTCTTCTTCGTTAATGTATATCTTCATGTACTTGTGTAGTTGTTATGCAAGGATAAGTATGAGTACATAAGAATATGACACTTAATTGTTAAGAAAGCATTAAGCTTATTTAAACCACCTTGTATGATCCACTGGTAAAGTAGCACATACATGTGAACTCTCCCTCTTTAAGCAGGAGACTCCCAGTTTCTGCAGCAATATTTTCAAAGATTTTTCTTAAAACAAACACATGAAGCACTATTTTCACAAATCAAAGAAATCTCCCTATTTTTGATGTCAGAACTTCCTTCTTTGTTTATTTCAAATTGTAAAATCTCTTTTTGAAGAAAAACCTCCCACTTGATCATCGAAAAAAAGTTCACATGTATGGTAGCAAAGCACATTTAACTAAAACAGGTCCTTACAATATGACTTGTTAAGATGTACAGATGTTGCAGTACTCCACTGTATGCCGCTGTTTCCCCCCGAGATGATTTTCAAACAATAATTGCGCCGTTAAAAAGTCATCCTCATATGTGGGCTTTGACAATGTTGTCAGGTACACAAAAGAGGAAAGTATGGTCAATACTATTAATATAGAGTCAAATTTAAAAGAGGTATAACAAAATAATTTGTGATATATCACCTGTTTTGCAGTCTTTTCAGCTTTAGCATACATGTTTGATTCTTCCAAACCAAAGGCATACATCCCTAGAAGGTCACTGAAATAAAACACATATCATTTATAGTGGTCAATGTTTTACAGTGGTTAAAACATTAGAAAGGTTGGTGAACTGTATTGATGCAGTTTTTATAGTGGTAAAAGTTCATAGTGGCTATAAGGATAGTTGAAGTACTGTTTTGATACAGCATTTATAGTGGTCAAAGTTTCATAGTGGTTAAAAGCCTTAAGGATAGCTGAAATAGTGTTATAATACATTTTTTACAGTGGTCAAAGTTTTATAGTGGATCATAGTGGTTATATGGATGGTTGAAGTACTGTTTTGATACAGTGTTTATAGTGGTCAAAGTTTCATAGTGTTTCATAGTGGTTTTAAGGATGGTTGGTGTACTGTATTGATACAGTTTTTATAGTGGTCAAAGTTTCATAGTTTTTCAAAGTGGTTTTAAGGATGGTTGGTGTACTGTATTGATACAGTTTTTGTAGTGGTCAAAGTACAGAGAATGAATGTAGTCTTATTGAAGTTACAAGTAATCATAGTGGTTATATAAATACATGTAAGTGTTTACAAGCCGTAAAGTATTAAAGTGTTTAAGAGGTATTGCAATTAATGGCTAAAAACTCTTATTTTATTTTGTGCAAAGTATAAATATCCCGGTATGACTAGATTTTGGAAAAGGCCCCTTTCTGCGAAAAGGACTTGGCATGACCGGAAAGGGCCGATTATATGCTTATTAACAGCATTTTCAAATGATTTCACTAAATATGATTACAATTTATTAAAACAAATACCTGCGTATTTAAACTGATATCCTTTCCCATATTTGTTGAGATTTTAAAGATAAAACTATCAGTTCTCAAACGCACTGATTGGAAATGAAAATATTTGAAATAAAATATTACTGATATCTAATTAAATCAAAGTTAAATAAACAAATATATCTATAGTTTTGTCCATGTTTGACTTACCCATAGAACGGTGTGTCGGGCTTCCAGTACGGTAACACTCTTGCGCAGCTGTCCCTTAATCCCTGTGATCCACCATTGACAACATATATATCATGGAGGAACTTTAATGACATCATGTCCATTGGATTCTCTACAAGAATGTCCTCCCATACATCCGAGGCTTTGTCCAGTTTTCTAAAATAAAATTTAAAACACCGTACTTTACAGCAGCAAAGATTCATGATATTTTTCAAGAAAATGTTTACCTTTTAATACATTATCAAAAGTTTTCTTGAAAATTCATCATGAATCTTTATAGTAATAGATCCCGACTATGTTGAGTGATAAACTTTAATGAGTTACTAATAAATTGTTAAACAAAAGCACTGCCTGTAGTGTTAATGCTTGTTTGTTAAAATAATCTTTTTTGACATTAAAAAGGGGGCATAGCTCCAAAACAAAGCTTTCAGAATTATGCCCCTTGTCTTACAAATTGCTTCTTGTATTCCAAGCTTCATTTTGATAGATAACTTTAAAAATTGTTTGAGTTATTGATTACATCAGGTACGTATATAAAAACGTACCTGATTACATAAATGTTTTTCCATGACATCAACAATGACTGTAGACAACAACAACAATGCTGCAGCAATCATATATAATATCTCAATTTTTTCTTCTAAACAGACATTAGCTACTCAATGATCAAATGGAAGATGGCCTTTAACACAGCTTTAACTGTAGATCAAATAAAAGCAGTTTTACCCTTCAGACAAGTAAACCACAGCCTGCGCATGTTTTTGTTCCCATGGTTTCACGTGTGGCTGCTTTGCCATCTCGGCCAGCTTGTAGACTTCCTGTGCGTGCGCGTAATCTTTGTGGACAAACTGAAATGTGGCTCCCAGCTTGAGGGCATGACCAATTACTGAAATCAGATCAACAGCCTATCGTTATAAATAAATGTACAAAAAAGATCAGTTTGGTTCATTTTTAACCAGCTCGCATAGCTCAATCGGTTAGAGCATGAGACTTGTAATCTCGTCATTGTGGGTTCGATTCCCAGGCTGGCCAACTAAAATTTGTAACTAATCAGTCTTTCGGATGAGACTTTATAATCGAGGTCCCGTGTATGGGTGCTTAAACACTTGGCACGCTAAAGAACCAGGAGAAGCTTCTGGATTGGGGCATCTTTCTTTTTGCACTATCTTCCAAAAATCTAAAATGACTAATACTCTTCTGGAGGACTTGCCCAAATGGGCAACCAGTGGCAAGTATAAATAAATGGAAATACACACACACACACACACATGCATGCATGAACGCACAAACACACACATCAGTTTGGACAATGACTGTTTCAACTGAATCAAGTTTTGTCCGTGGGTTGCGCGCACTCTACTTTTCTCAGTGTTGAATACAATGTACTTAAATAAAACTTTAACAGAAAAAGTGGCATTTAATTCGACTTACTACTGTAGTCAGGCAGAAATATGGTGATTTATACGTTAAATACTGCAAAATCACTCATTAATCGTATATTACATGAAAAGTATTACTTGACTCTTGAATCTTCTTACTAATTTCTTAAAATCATAGTATATTTTTTGTCTTCAAGTTTTATTTCCTTGATACACTTTGGCTCATCTGGAGGCATGCATCTTTAAATAGAACTGCTTCAAGACTTACAAAAGTTGGGGTCTGCTTGAAACATGTTCTTCATACATCCCTCAGTCCCGCCCACACTTTCATCATCATATCTGTTCACCATCTGTATATAATAAAACAAGACAACATACCTTAGAGACAAATAAATAAATTTCATTCTTTTGAAAGGGTAAACATAAGTTTATAACATTGAAATAATGTTTTTGAAGCATGCTAAATGCTTATTACCAGACAAAATAGCTTTGAATGTGTAATTATCTGTCATAAATGTAGCGAAAAGCTAACAAAGTAGTATTTTGACTATGACCATACAAAATACTAAATCACTACAACTGTACTTATTGCTGAAAAGAAACAGAAGCAAACTATGATTAAGGGTTAAACTTCCTTGGAAACTATAACTGGACATCTAAACTAAAATAAAAACGTTTGAGAAATAATAATAAAAGCATTTCTTGGGCAATATGGGCCTTTAACATGATCCATCCATCAACACATTTGTACAATGTAGACCTTGCCACTTACATTCTGCTACGTCCGCTTGTACAAATCAGATAGCCTCGTGTTTCGATGCTCTTTCTATTGCATAATGTGCCTACCTGAGGCAGTAGGAAACAAATGAGCCCCGTCACGACAAAACCAACATAATGGGTTTGCGACCAGCATGGTTCAAGACTAGCCTGCGCATCCGCGCAGTCTGATCAGAATCCATGCTGTTCGCTATCAGTTTCTCTATTTTTTTACAGGGTTTGTAAGCGAACAGCATGGATCCTGATCAGACTGCACGGACGCGCAGGCTGGTCTGGATCCATGCTGGTCGCAAACCCATTATGTTGCTTTTGTCGTGACGCGGCTCATATAAAGTTGTACCTGAGTAAGGCAGGCATCAAACATCTTACAGGCTTCATCACTGGATGTAGAAAAGTCAAGACCAAATGTCTTCCAGTCCTGAAGAAAAAAAATACTTCAGTAAAACTGTTAAATTTGAACAGTATTTACATCAATTCAATTCAAAGCTAAGGTGAAGTTTATCTGACCCGCTCTCAAGTTTGGTTTCTCCTGCTGGTGTCATATGAAGAAAGATGTGGCCCCAAACAATACTCGAACATACGATCCCTTGGTTTGAGAGACAGACATCTGGTCTCTAGCCTTGCTAGTGTTCAATGTTTATACATGTATATTGTTCAATGCAGTGACATCTATATGACATACATCATACACAAGAATGGAAACGTCGAATTTGTGAAGACGGATAAACGAAATCTTACAACGGAACTTCCTCTAAATCTATGATGTCATCCAATTGCGTGTCAATTCACCATTAATTTAAAATGGCCACAGAGACGTCAATTTACATAATTATTTGTGGATATAATTTCACGTTATGTAATCCCTACGTTAGATTTAAGACTAATTTTCTTATGACATCAAACATTTATAAATGCGTAAACAAGGTTGAAAAAATACGGTAACTTTAGAAAAATACATTTGGGCTGTCGTCTTTTGTGCAAAACATCGAAGAAACATATTCAGACGTTATACAATCGATATCTGAATCCCTGGAAGGCGGTCGTCTGCTTCTTGGCAACACGGACAGCGACGGAATAGGCCAATCGTTTACGATTGTTTACGAATTTACTTAAAAATTGTTCGTGGCCTTGTTTCGTGGCCTTGTT